ACCCCCCCCCCCCACCAAAAAATACAATACAAAAATTATTATACACATCATAATTCTCACTAATTATTAATCTGAAACGCAAGTGTATCATTTATATGATGTTTTAGAAAGCAGGTCACTGTTGAAAGCTGATAATAATCATACAAGAAAAAAAGAGAGTTCTGACTCATGAGGATGAAGGTGAGACAGAAACAGAGAGAAAAATGACATTCAAGGGAAAGTCCACAGAGAGAAAAGAAGGAATATATCCGATTGAAATGAAACAATAGAAAAAAGCTGGAGCACGAATGCACATTATGAAGAAATATTGTGATACAGTTTGCTGTAAACATCTGTTTTCCTTCTGAGCTCTCCCTCTCTCTGGCAGATGCTAACATACAAGTGTGCATTCGCATACTGCTGCTCCATTATACATTCACTTTGCCAGCCTTGATATGTCCTCATGTTTACACCACTGGAACTAATGACACTGCTTCTGCAATCCTTCAAAATTAACCCTTCAGGTCAGCCAAACACAAACACACACCCCCGCACACACATATACACTTCTTATGAACTCCTGAAGGAAAAGTTACTAAAGGAAATTAATGAGATGTATCGAATAGCACAGGGACAAAGTATATGTGTCTTTTCTCTTGTGTGCTAGTGAGGCAGTTATCCTGTTCACAAAGAGAAGCAAATTAATTGACCACTTAGCTACTAGCATACAAATATATATTATTACGATCAGTATATGTAGACATACAAGTGTGTATGTATGTATGTATCTTGACACCACTGTTCACAGCCCCTGCAGGCTACAGTCATGGTTATCAGATATTTTAGAAGCTATAAGTATACTACATAGGTTTAAGCTATGACTTGTAGTTCATGTACAATATGCTCATTATATGAGATATGTTACACTCAGATGAAATACATATAAAAAATGTATCTGATTATTCATCAAATACGGTGTTTCCGAATCAACTGCATGGCACTTCATTATTAATATTGATCTTATATTGACCACGTTCGACGGAATTATATATTTTGCTCTTACACAACAGAAATCCTTTAAAAGCCAGCTGAATTCATGTGTACTCATGTGCATGTGTGAGAGAGTGTGCGTGAGAGTGTGTGCGTGAGTGTGCATTTCTGCACAAGCACGCTGCATCTCTTACACACTACCAGTAAGGTCAAGGCAGCTGTGGAGTGGGACAAGTTCTTCCTGTGAGTGGTATGAGTGTATTCTCCCTACAGCTGCAGGTCTCTCCCTACCTGAACTTTTACACCAGCAGTAGCTTAAAAAACTATTCTCAACACAGACAAGAGGCTCTGTGTGCCTGGAGGCTTGCTGAACAGGCTTCAATGGAAAAAGCACTGTAGATGTCTCTACTCAGTAGGTCTTTCTGGATATTTCCTTTTCACAGAGAAAAAAAATATATGGGACAATGTGAAGCTGATCCATGAAGAAAAACAACACATTTATTCCATTGTATATTATGTAAGCGTGATGAAACATTGTTATGTGTTGACCCAGCTGATCCTTTAAAATGAAAGAAACCCTCAAACATTTAGTTTCACAGCATTCAGGGTGAACAGTATCAACTGGAAGATCAACATGCCTCATTCCTAAAGAAGAACTCAGAATCTGGTGTAAAGACTGATGTCAGAAGACGAAGGGCAAAATAATTAAGCAGTTTGTTGAGTCACACTGACAATTGACAAACCACTAAGCAACTACTTAGCTGTGAGGTAACAAATACATCCTCACAAAAATTTTATAAAACCATTGAAATCAAAATATAAAAATACACAGTATAAAATTTGAAACGAAAGCCATTGTTGTTGTCTTAATTATATTGCCTCATCTGCAGCATAATCAGTTACTCTTTTTATGTTTTTGAGAAATTACCAAAGTTTTATCTGGTCATAAGCTACCTACCTAGCAAGTTTATTCATGCTGTATTTACATACATACATTTTTTTTCCCATGTAGCCATTGTATTAAAGGATTCACTGATTCTAGAAAATATGGCATTTTAAAAGAGTGTCATGACATGAAAATATCAACATAACTTTTTAATAAATACGGTTTCAGCTATCAGATCCTGTTAAAAAACTCTCTCTCTCTCTCTCCTTCTCTTCTTCTTTCAACACCACACACCCACACACACACACCACACACTTCCACACCACACACCTCCACACACACAACCCACTCCACCTCACCCCACCACACACACATACTGGTATGTACATATAATGAACACACAGCTATTCCAGGTTGCAGGTTGTTTTAGTTAGCACTCCTTTGGGGAGACAAAAAGGGGGCTGCCACACTCTCCAGTGTTTAAACAGAGCCAAAGCTCTGTTCGAGAGCAATAAAGGCTCCCTGTACACGCGTGTAAAATGCCTCATAAAGAGCCAAAGACCCAGAAAATGTGGGAAACAGTCATTGTCTGTCCTGGATAGTTCCTGCAAGAATCATGCTATCAGTGTTGGTCCATCAGGCATTTCATTGAATTATTGAATCACAGCACAGAGAACAAGGCCTTAAAATTCTCTTTAGGTCCATTAGTGTAATAGGGCAGTCATACTTTAAGAGAAAAAAATTTAAAAAACACTGTTCTCATTCTGATGACTTGGCATTTTCTTTCATTTCTGCTCCTTTCATGTTCGTGAAACTACCTGAAAGTTGAAAAATCTGAAAAAGCCCTGAGCGTTTCCATCCTCTTAGCTCCTCCTCCCCTGTTTCATCCTAATACCTCCACTTCCCTGCATAAATGTATCATTACAGTATCATTATGTCTATGGTATCCCCACAGCCTCCATTTACAGGGACTTAGGTACTGTGTTCTGGGGCTTACGTGGACCCATTATGTCATTAAGTCATTATGAGCTGGGACAGAGAGAAAATAATACCCATAATAGGAGCTACATTGGGCACTACTTAAGTCTATACTCCCATCCTGCCTGCCTTCCTGCCTATTTGTCTGTCTGGCTGATCTGTATGGGCACCGTGTTTCATGTTACACATCACCCTCTAAAGCTATCTTCCTCCCAACAGAAAGTGATTGAACACGAAACTTCTGAAACTGCTTTTTACTCAGCACGCATGTGTGTTGGCAATGAGCAACTCACCCCAGAATTAGGATATGCTGTCCAGCCCAGTTCAGCTGTGGCCACCCGAGTGTCCATCACAGTCTCTGCAGCAAAGAAAGAAAAAGAGGTAAAGAGAAAAAGACAGCGGTTAGCCTTAAAAGAAAGCCATTTTGAGTATCATTCCACAGTGTTGAACTGCATTCAAGCCCCAGTGATCACTTGACACTATCATTGATGAACAGAAAGGAGATGAATCCTTCAGTGGGTTTCATCCATCTCTGCTAGACTTCGGTTAAGACAAGAGACATGGAAACAAAGCCTTGGCACTTTGCTGGAAGAAATGTCTGAGGGCCTCTGTCATGCTGTTAAATGCTGAGCTTTGTATTGTGTTCTCTCTGCATGAGCATGAAACTACAGTTTGTGCATCCTGCCTTTGTTTGTATGCCTGTGTGTGTGCATGCATTTGCACGATAGGCAGTCATTTGTGTTCACACAAGAAATACTGTAGGGATTTGCATGCGGCCGATGTGTGAGTGCTGAACTTTGCCATATTGTTTACTTTAAAAAAAGCGGTTTCACAAATGCAGAGACAGCCCTCCAAGGCGAGGCCATTGCAGTTTGTTTACTCCTAGTGGGGACATTCTCTGAAAACTAGTATGGAGAGAGCTTAAATGAGAAGGGGAAAGATGCTCATGTTTCTATGTGATTTTCTGAACATTTTCTAAGAATCTCAAGCTGTACCTTAGACAACTATATCTTACACTGGTTGCACACAAAAATGAGACATAAAAAGTTATAAGCTCAGACAGGGAAATCTGGCACAGAGAGTAGTTTGGAGATATTTATTTATCTCACTTTGGACTTGTATTACCCAAGTGTCATATCTATGAAATATAAGAAGACAAGATTACCCATTCTTGCTTTCACCCCTCTTACTAATCCTCAGTGACACACCATAGACAAAATAAGTCTGGCAGCTCCACCAAGAAGTTTGTCATCCCTGTTTTGATTAATATCTGCCTTGTTGGCACACTGAAATCTAGAAAACCTGATATACCACGGAAAGAGGAGAGAAGTATGGTAAACCACAGGTGTTGTTCTCTCTCTCTCTCTCTCTCTCTCTCTCTCTTCTCTCTCTCTCTCACACACATAGATTTATATAGTGATGGACTGGATGACATGGTGGCCTTAGCAGTATAATGATAGATTCATAATTTCCCCAGTAACAGACAGTTTATTCTCTGACTTAAACATTCCATCTTACTGGGAATGAACCAGGGTATATTTCACATTTCTTGATGTCCCCTGCCACAACATGCCCTCAGTTGTGTTTTTTTGTGGCCAAACAGATAAGAACTGGGAGACAGAAGAGTGAATGGTATGTTTGGGTGATGCACTGTAGTAGATAAGCAGGGTATGTGGGAATTTTCAGAGGAACTGTGGTTGCTGTATCTTGGACATCATCCACTAGCACAGCAAACGGTTGGCTAGCGACACCCACACATGTTGTTGATGAGGGAGAAATCTCACTCCGTTTGAATGCAAAGACGTACAGCAACTGACAGACAGGTTCCAGGTCCTCAGCACCATTTCTTTACTGGGAAACATAGACCCACAGCTGTTGCTTATTTGAAATCTCACTGAACTTGCAGTGATTTAGAAATGATTCCAAATGATGGAGCACTCGAAGCCCGTCATCTGTAGTTCAAGTGGTCTTGGTAAAAAACAAGTACACTGAGGATGAGTGACAAGCCACTGGTAGGAAGGAAAGAGGCCTTTCATTCTCAATCTCTACTTACTGGGAGAAACTGTCCTCAGACATGAAACCAATTAGCCTAGGTAATTCAGCTGCACACACAAGCACTCGCACATATACACGTCAAGACACACACATGCTGCACACACACACACTCACATTCACCAGCCAACTCAGAGAGCAATTTTCTGTGTACACCTACAGTGACAGCCTTGTTCACACCCGGCTTCCATCAGAGTATTTCAATTTCCCTAAGATCAGCCTTGCCTTGTCTAGTTTCCACAGCCAGCCAGCCAGCTCCAGCCTGCCTGCCTGTACGACTTGCTGTCAGCTGGGGAGATAGGAGCATGAAACAGCCCTCAGCGCCAGCCAGCGTTGTGGGGACTGCCAACCCTTTCTCAGGGGAAATCACAGAAGCTTTAGTCAAATCACACAGGCACTTGGTAGGGCATTTTCCATTTCCTTTTAAAAGGGAAGGAGGGGTGGAAGCAAGATGGTGAAGGTAGGAGACAAAAAGAGGTCAAAGGCCCAGGGGAGGGGTGGCTGAGACATGTCATGTGACCTAATGTCTACCATTAGCAGAATATCAGAGTAGGAGATGAGTAAATGGAGTATGCTAAGTGGTTATTAGCAATGGGGTGGGGCTCACACTGCAGTCATGCCTATAGCTCACACACCTGTCCACTGTCACTGGGGATTTGGAAAATGTCCCTTGTGTACGTGTATTTGTGTGAGTTTTAAATGAGCTGTTATGTGGACCATTCATCCATTTAATCATAAGTGGATTTGAAGAGTTTCATTTTAAAATGAGCTACCCACGTTAATTAGAAAAGCCAGCTCTTTCAAAATTACAAGAGGCACATTTTGGTTTATTGCTGAAATTATAAGTCATCCTGTGACCTAGGCTTACAAAACAATTAGGTTTCAGAAGAACAAATCATCTATATTAAAAAAGCAAATAAAACAAAACTAAGTGGCTACTGGTATGTTTTATAAAACAACATCCTTTAGAGAAAGATACAAATTAATATATAATATTATAATTTGTTCTCTCTCTCTCTCTCTCTCTCTCCTCTCTCTCTCTCTCTCTCTCTCTCTCTCTCTCTCTCTCCTCTCTCTCTCTCTCTCTCAGTTTTTCCAAATGATTTGGAAGACAAGGAATGGCAACAGCTAGCTATAGTCCTTCATATTTTGGAGGGTAGCCCAGAGTGTTTTCTCCTGCATTCATATTCTGCTATGTCAGCTCCACCTGCAAGCTCCAATAAATTAAACACCGCTAGGTTCACTAGCAGTTCAGTCTGTGGGAAAATTATTAACATAGAGAGCTTAATGTTGACAATGTCACCATGGCTCATAAATCTATTGTAAAACAATAGCTTGTAGGTGTCAGGGTAGCCAGCCTTAAATGGATTCAAAGAGCCGCAAGGCCAGGGGATGTATTGTGTCTACATCGCAAAATATTAGTGACTCTAAAACATACAACGGATGTAGGTTGGCTCATTGTGTAAGGCTCACTCAAGCTGATACACTGCCAGTGTGCTAGTCAAAACCCAGAAGTTGCAAGCTGAGCCAAAACCAAGGCTCAACCGATGGGCCTACAGCTTCCAATCCCAGAAAGCTCAGCTCCTTCTCATTAGCAGCAAGTGGTAGATCAATACCAAATGGTAGGCTGTTTTCACAGATAGAGAGAGAGGGATAGAGAGAGGGCGGGAGAGAAATGAAAGAGCGAGAGAGACTGCATTAAACATTGATGAGGCCTTGCGTTACAGATCGATAAGGCAGCCCTCTTCACACAATTACACGTCAGCAAGCAGTCGCATGATACATCACATGGACACGCATGATTACATATTGCTAGCACTTTGGCCATAGAACATCTACAGAAAGGCAGTTCAGAGAAGAAAGAACATCAGGAATGGATTGTCCAATCTCTCCACTCTCTTTGAGCCTTTATGTATGATTTTAATTCTATAGTTTGCAAGTCAGAATGGCAACATGTCTGTGTAATTCCCCCCTTTGTGGTTGTGTCTGTATGATTGTATGGCGGCTGATCGATAAAACATGTGCTGAAGCGCCTCTCTGAACCTTCCTGGCTCCTTAGTCAATACAGCAGACAATTCTCCGTGGATTTCCCTTCCCATCCCAAAACACATCTCTTCCATTCATCTATCCTTTNNCCCCCCCCCCCGTTCAAGGATGCTGGTACACTTTGTAATTCAATGAGACAATCATGTCCAGATGCTGGATGCTGGGTTGAGAGGGCCTTCTCTTTGTGATTGTAGCAACAAACCGAATAAGATCCGAGGGCCTTGAATGACATTATTTAAGAGGGTTTTATCTTTTCACAGAAACGGAATCAAGATGGGAGGACAAAGGGAAAGAGACAGAGAGAGGAGAGAGAGAGATACTGAAGGGAAAAGACAGACAGAGGGAAAGGCAGAGATGAAAAACCGAGAGGAGAAATCAGCGGGATTGAAATGAGCACTTAACAATGATGAAGCCCCATGGTAGCCTGCTGAGCCTGGCATCTTAATACGGGGCTGAAAACAAAGTGACAAACAAACAAGAGCAAAAGCTGCAGCATCTCCCAAACTAATCAGCCGTCCACTCAGGGGATTTATATGAATAAAAAAAGGAACATTTTTGACAGAGTGAAGTATTTTCTGAACAAATCGTGTGAAAGTTTGTCACACAGATAGACAGTATTCATTCACTGCACCCTGGGAAATCACACACAAAAAAATTGTTTGTTGGACTGGAAGGTAGAAGCAGCTCAAGTCCGGCATGGTCGAGAGCATTGAGCTGATTTGAAAAACTGTGACTGGGTTTATGGCACAGCCCTCCTTCAGGGTAAAAAGAATATGAAAGAGGTGATATCTTTGATTGAGCCATCGTGTTCAACAGAGAAGACAATCCTTGCGAACACAGATGTGAGACTTTTCTAATCTGCGCCACACTAAAGCTGTGTCACTCATACTGAAGGGTTTCTGCTTTAAATAGAAGATACAGAACAGTCAACTGAAATACATCAAAAGAAATATGTTACTTCCATGTCTCCCTGAAGACAGAAATGACAATGTGGCTGATTTGAAAATTGAACAGAAAATAATCTGCCATCCTCTGAGACATTGGCGCCGAGTGATGGGATACACAAGTCCCTCATCGCTGAGCCAAAGACAGAATTAAATGAACAGGCTCACAAATCACAGATCACACACACACACACACAAATGTATTAACAGTGTTCTGGGCTCGCAGTCACTCACTCTGGCGGAGTGAAAATAAAATTTTCAGCATGAAAGAAGACCAGGTCAGTATCAGAGACGGGGGAGAAAGCCAAGAGAGATG